TCAGTTTATAAACTGACCCCATTGCTGCACCGGCCACATAAAGCATGTGGATCATTTTTGATGAGATAGAAAATAAATGAAAAGCAGCTCCTAAATCATGCAACTGTATTGCAAAAAGTCACCAATCTTCAGTTTGATAAGTTCTATGCAAGACGCGTGAAGTCATTTTAGGTATTTTTTCCATTGTTTTTTTTTTTAATAATCTGCCAGTGTACAAGAAATTAATGGAGCAGTGGAATGTATTTTTACAGCTGGTGATTATTTAGTCACTTTTACACAGTGTACTCCACTCTCTATTTGTTTACTTTTACCCACATTACATAAATCTTTCCCAGTGTTCCCAAGTACTGGGTCCAAAAACAGAAGACAAACACAATCCTAAAATCAAAGCTCACATCTCATTTTATCAAAGTGTAGCTGCACCCTTTTTGCTGCACGTTTTGCTGTCATCGACATCGAATACTACAATAATAAAATGAAAGCAATAAAAGATGGTCAGTTAGATAAGAAGTCTGAGTCACAAGGAAAAATTAATTTATGATTAAATATCTCTTGTTGTGATGATGTTACTGTTCATTGTGCTGTAAAAGTGAGAACTCCCTGACGCCGTTCTTCTGTTTACCCTGCAGCAATGTAATGACGTCGGCCTCATGGCCTACTTAGGCACTATCACCAAGACTTGCAACAGTATGAATCAGTTCATCAACAAGTTCAACGTCCTGTACGACAGACAGGGCATCGGCCGGAGGATGAGAGGACTCTTCTTTTGAGCAAAGCAGAGAATCAAAACGAGCACCGCAGTTTATTATTCTCTGTTCTGTCTTTTTCTTTTCTTTGTTTTTGTTTTTTTTGTCTGTTTCTACTTTGATTAGCTAAAAAGCAGTTCTTAAACCAACCGTAGCTTTTCAGAGCAGTTAAAAAATTCCAACCACAAGTGTATCTAAAAGCACCGATCATTAAAAGCTATGTACAAAGTCACTCATCTGTTTGGTGGGTCTGCACAGCAATGAGTCCACTGTACATGAACGTTCTGTTATTTTACCCAGTTTGTTTTACTGTTTCATGTTCCTGTATGTAATAAATGATCTGCTGATTTTTCGTTTTTTTCCCCATGAGACTTTGAATCTTCTGTCAACGAAGCACATTAAAAAAAAGTCAGAGCTGCACTTTTAAATGAGCACATGAAAGTCTGCTACGTGGAGCTCGCCTAGCTGGAGGTTTATTGGCAGTAGCAGCACGTTTGCAGATCACCCACTGAAGTTGTGTTCCTGCTGTTTGATTGCCCTTATAGGTTTTGGACAGAGAGGCAGGAAAAAGACTGCAGGGTGACTTATTGCTCCAGAGTGTATGGAAAATAACAGGAGTCAGCATTTATTTGGCTATTAAATGTACAGCAGAACAGACATAATGGCCTCCCAGCATGCATGCTAGTACTTCACAAGTGATTTTTACCTGCCATGTGGCGATGGGTGGAGCAAAGCTTTCCTTTTGAGGCTACTTTGCACCTTTCAAAAAGGATATTCCAACTCAAAATGCTACTCGCTGGTGAAAAACTGATTTGTTACAATTTATTCTTGTCAAAAAGAAAATTGGTTTTTCACATACTGGCAGTTAGACATTGAGTCATCGATGTAATTACACTGCATCTAAAAATTCGCTAAGACATTGGTTTTATTGACATTACATATAAAAGATGTGAAAGTGTGCAACTTGGATGTTTTCATAGTCTGTTTTGCTCCCTCTGGATGTTTTACTGGCTCTCCTCTGCAGGCTCATCAGCAGCATCAGCAGGCCGTGGGTACTGGAAGCGGGCTGGATCGTACAGATCATCCCTGGGGTTGTAGGGTAGAGGGTGCTGGTAGTAGTAAGGGTGAGGGTAGTAGGTTACTTTCTTAATGGGTGCAGGAGGTGCTGGCTCCTCCACATGTTCCTCCTCTTCTTCCTCCTCGACCGGAGGGGGTGGCGGGACCACAACCTTTCCTTTGATGGGCCTGGGTGGGTTGTCAATCAGGCAGTCGGGATCCCAGTAGGGGTCACAATCGTACTCCATGCCCTTAAAGGTGCGGATGTGAGCTGGGGGAGACTTCTTGACAAAGACTGGGGGAGGTGGAGGTGGGCCAGATTTCTTAGGAGGAGGTGGTTGAGGCACTGCCACGGGAGCTGGTGCAACCTTCTGGGGAGTGCAGTGGGGGTGGTACCGAGGGTCACAGAGCACAGGTACTGCACCTGTGGGCATGTAGACAATGTGAGGCTTGCAGAGGGGGTCCTTTTGGTTACACAGGTAGAGCACATCGGCCTGTGAAATGGCTGGAGCAATAGGAAGAGCAGGAGGCTCTGTGGGTCTTGGGACCCCTTTCATTGGCGGTGGAGGAGGAGGAGGAGCAACAACTTTGCACTTCTTGTCTGTGGCTGGGTCACACATGATCATAGGCACTCCCAGTTTGCTCTGGAAATAGGAAGCATCAGGGCCGTAGGTGTGCTCCAGGTACCTCATCTGCTGGTAGAGCATTCGCAGCTTGTCGATCTCATAGAGCTGAGAGGCGGAAAAAGAGTAAAGGAAAGACAAACTCAGGTTTATTTATGTAGCATCAAACTGCAAAAAAAAAAAAAAAAGCTGCCACAAGTAGATTTATAATCTTCAGTTGGTTAAGAAAGAAACCCTGAGACACATTTAAAATCTGAAATCCTTCATGATTATATGTGTTTTTAAATTAAAAAGCTCAGTTGTAATCGCACTTCTCGACTAAGCCGAGAGGTGATGTGTTTTGAATCCCAAAATCCCGACCCTCTGAGATCAAAATGAAAAATCTTTTTTCTTCCTGCTTTTTTTTAAACTATGAAGGTTTAGATTTAAAATCTTCCACATCCAGATACAACATGTTGGTGCTGATTTTAAACAACCAGAACCTGGACTGAATTCAAAATTTAACATCCTTATTAGCTAAAATCTTACATTTGCTGGTCTGCAAAGGTGACTTGTCACAGTTTTCTGTTACTACAAAGAATGTTTAAAATAAAGAACACCTACAGTGACACATTCTGAGGTGCTTATATAGACGTTGAATATTTGGGCTACCCCAGGAAGCCCAAAGTGTTTCTTACCCCCTCAGTGTGTCCGATGCTGCTGTAGTATTTGTAGTAAGCCTGGAAGTCTGGGTTTCCTCTGTACCACCGAGGGTCCGCATTACGCTTTGGTCTGGAGTGAGTCAGAAAATCATTTGCTTTCTCTGCATCAATGCTAACATCGCCTACAGGGACCATCTCTGTAAAAAGAGGAGATGAAGCTGAGTCTTTCAAAAACAGTTGGAAAAACAGCACCGCTGCATAAAGCCTCAGAAAATTGTTATTTTTTAACTTACGTTCCTGCTTTATGACATTCAACAAAGATTTGGCCTCCAGCAGGCCTGAAAGAGGATGGAAAATAATTTGTGGATGTTGATTTTGATTGTTTTTGAGAGGTGAACCTGTGACATTGTGAAGTAAAAGAAGCAGAGCAGACCTGGGAGAAACACAAGACAGAAGAGTGCCCCCACCAAGCACGATGAAGAAATCATCTTGAACCTCTGTGATCATGAAGAAAAGGAAATGATCATTTTGAGGAAAACTGTTAGTTCGTACAAAATAACTCGGAATCAATTACATTTCACATCTACACATTTAACAAAGGTATGTGTCTAATACCAAAATTCAATTGTAAGACATAAAAATATGTCTTCAGGTAAAACTGTTCTGCAATCTGATGCTCTAAATGCAAAGATTAATAGAGACTGTAGAATATAAATGTGGCTTGCAATTAATAACTTTATTAATTCAAATTATATTTTTGCTTCTTATTGCACGACCCAATATTGTAAAGAAAACACATCTGCCCGTTTTACTCACCTGACTCGGGAGGCAGTCTTCACTGGTCTCAACAAGGCTGAGTGGGTTAAATACACATCTCTGCGTCGGTTACCCTGTAACATTATCTTCTATCCAATCGGACTCTACCGACTTTGAGACCGAAATCTTGTCTCCACCTTCCTTTTAATACACTTTAATGTGGGGCCTTTGGCGCCAATTAAGAACAGAAAGCCTCAGGACCTTTGCAGCAAAGCCATAAAACAAAACAGACTTCAAATGGAAACTCCCCATTAAGTGTGGAAGTGAAGCATCACCTGCTGGGGCAACTGCAACCGTAGTGAAAATGCTGCCTACTAACACAATATCCATGCCAGAAAAGCTTACAAAAAAATATAGATGACAACCCATGTTGCCTTAAACATACATTCATAATGAGACTTCACAGATTTCTGAAACACCACCGGTTTCTAAAGGTTGTTATTTTTACCCAGTGAACACCTGCTTTTTGAACACAGGACAGCTATCTACAGAAAAAGCCGCCTTTGTCTCGGCATGTTCAATACTCAGACTGCATTCTTACTGAAGGCCGTCATACTAAACATACATGCAATAACACACACTGGTCAGTTTAATGTTATTCTCCCACATTCCCCAATCATAACGATGTCAAATGTGATAAATAGATTGTGAATAATGTCCATGATGAAAATATAATTTCCAAGTTTACATTGTTTTAGCTTCTTGCTGTATTAGATGCAATTATTTAGATACATGTCATCAGTAGACCAAAACATTTAGGTGACGCATGATTACTAGTTACTCTACCGAGACAGTGCATACAATGTGTTAGTGGGTTACAGGATCATTCATCATACAGCTGGAAGCTTGCGGTTTTGAAAGCTAGATTTGGCAGCATTAAACATTTGTTGCCTTTTCTGAATATCCAAGCCTTTTGAAATCTTTGGTTCAGTGACTCACAAACCCAAAGTCGTGCGGGTTTTGTCTTTCAACATGAAAATTGTGACTTGCAGACCTGTATGTTTTGTGGGCAGGCATTACTCAAAGGATTAGCGAGGCGTCCCCACTGTGAAACCAGGTGTTCATACACATTTCTTCATCCCACATTATGTGCACAGAAGACTCGGCACCAGGCAGAGTATTGAACCATCATTTTATTTTAACTCTCACAATACAAGGCTCAATATAAATTTGTCTGATTTGCATCATCAAGTATAAAATGTACAGAAATGCTCAATGTTAAACGGATGCTTGCAGCCAAACCACAGGAAATACTTCACAATACTAACTTCTGACGTACATATTTACAAGCAAGGTACTGTTAACAGGATTCTTCGGGAGTTCTGGGTTTCCATTAGCTGGAATTCTCGCAATAATAGTCATATTTAAAAAGAATCTTCCATCTGCTGGACTTACAAAATGCTTAACCTCATTACAAGTCTGTAGAAAACCCACAACAAAGAGTCCCCCACCCTCCCTCAGGTGACTGAAACAAAATGTGCATGAAGGCGTGTCCCGGGTTGTTCAGACGAAAGTGATGCGCGTGCGGGCCTGGTTGACCTGCCACACGTTCAGCTCTTCGTACTCCTCCAAGGCCTCCTGGAACTGGGCGGGCGTGAAGCCACGAGAGACGCAACGTTGCTCTGCTTCAGCCATGCGAACCAACCCACCGGCTCCACGGCCCTCTGCGGCGAGCTCGCGCACCAGAGAGAAGATGACGTCGGCCGGTCGCTGCGTCCTGCAGATGAGAAAGCAGATATTAAAAAAAAAAAAAAAAAAAAAGTTAACTTTAAAGCCTCAAGGAATTTTGAATAAACCTACTCAGAAATGGCACAAAATAAGGCATGTAAACATACTACATGTACACGTACGAATGCACAAACTACATTTCCTGCTCGTTTTGAACATGCTGTCGTGTGAACAGAGCTCCATAAAAATCAAGCAAGTTTTACACCTTCCTTCAGGACATGCAAGAAACTCATAAAACAGCTCTGAATCAGATGACATCCAGCCATGTTAGTCTGAGCTCACTGAAAGCCATATTTAAAAAACAGGCCTGGTTTTTAGCTCTAACCTTGTGGTGCTGGATTTGTCAGCCTGTAATGAATCCTTGGACATCTCCATCAGCCTCATGGCCTCGTTTACATCTTCCTTCTCTACGGTGTCCATCATGCGAAGCCGAGCCTGAAGTAGGGAGTTAAAGGTGAAGATAATGCTAAGACTGTAGTTTGAGTGAATGCACAAATAAGAGTTAAAAATAATCCTACAATATCCATCTCAACTTAGGCTGCGCTGTGCCGGCACTGTCAGACCGAGACAAGTGCAATGCCCTCTGGGATGCCCGGCAATTGCCCAAGTCTCCGCCTCTCAACACCAGCTAGTCTCTCTATAGCATGAAATCAAAACAGCACACAAAAGATCCCATCTGAATACTGTTATGATCAATTTGGGATTTTTGTAGAATACACTGATGACAGTCCTGGCCATGGTCAGTTTTGCATGGGTTTGCACAGCTGGTCCTTATGCACACAGGCTGACTGCCCACCCTGCAAAGCTGGCCAGGATCAGCAAAGACATTAAAGCAGCTCCCTCGTGGTCATGAAGAGGAAAATACCAAATGAGTCATCTGAAAACACACAAATAAGCCGCTGATGTGCAGCTGTGGCACCAATACTGCTTGTGGCTGTGTTTTGCCCCCTTGTGGACATCTGTGTGCAGCATATTGCCTACCTGTTAACCTGAAGTGCTGGTTTTGCAGTAGGTGGATGACTGCTACCTGCACAAACAGCACTTTTGACAACCAGAGGCAGAGATGATACAAGACAGACTTAATTCAAGCTTTTTTAATAATATTCATGTTGTGAGTGGGTGTAGCATTTTGCTACTGGGACTGGTTTTGGCAGTCAGAGATTTTTGTCCAGCGTGGGAAAGAAGTGCTCACAATGCAGTAGGCCAGATTATCATCACTACCTGCACTGTAAGCACTTTATCCCACACTGGACGATCGATCAAGACAATTTAATTCCATTCAAAGCTCCACAAAAGTTGTGCAACCGAACCCCATACGACACTTGTCTGCAAATGTAAGTTCCACTGAAGTTTGATGAAAAACAATTGTAACCCTGTTTCACTTCTTAAAACAAATGTCTGACAAAATTATAACCCTCCTGCAGGAGTTCAATCAGTGAGATTGGCCTCTAAATGTTTCCAGCCACCCACTACTACTCAAGTGGATGTGGAATTCTTACCAGTGCAGTGGAGAGGCGCAGGATGGAGAGGAGCGTACGAGCAGAGGTGAAGGTGGTGTCTTTGCTGACCCGAGCCTCTTTTCTCATTTCCACGTAAGCAGCAGTGATGTAATCGGCCAGTGACTCGGGCACCACAGGCTGCCGCTTCTTGCACAGAGATATATAACGCCTGATGGAAATTACATTTGTCATTAGTTAATATTGCCTATTACGCAGACCTATTTGAAGTAAATTATCTGAGCTACAACAATAACCTTCATGTGTTCATTTTTAAACATGCAAATTCTCACCTCATCAGTTTCATGTCAATAGGGGTGAAGTGTGAAGGCGGTTGGCGGGAGTGCTGGTGCACGTAGGTGATGTGCTGGGCCAGACGCAGGTCAGCATCAGCATCTGGTTTGTCCTGGATGAGCCACAGCAAGTCGAAACGGGAGAGCAGAGCAGCTGGCAGCTGAATGTTCTGCTCGATGCTCTTCCGGGGATTGTAGCGGCCATAGGCGGGGTTAGCTGCTGCTAGAATAGAGCAACGGGCGTTGAGGGAGGTCATGATGCCAGCCTGGAAGGGAGATTAAATAAACTTGAGTGTGGATGTTAAACAGGCATTGAATGTTTCCAGATACCCCCCCGAGTACTGGCAGTAATTAAGGATACCTTAGCAATGGAGATGGTCTGTTGTTCCATGACTTCATGGATGGCGGTTCGATCTGCATCCGCCATCTTATCAAACTCATCAATGCAGCAGATGCCCAGGTCAGCCAGAACTAAGGCTCCTCCTTCTAGAGTCATCTCACCGGTTAGGGGGTCACGCATCACTGCCGCAGTCAGACCGACCCCAGATGAACCACGACCCGTTGTGTACTGGCCTGAACAGCAGACAGGGAACAAGAAAAAGCTACAATTAGCTGTTGATCAAACGGTTAATACTTCAAGCTTCACTCAGAATAAAACTTCCAATTATATGACAGGCTGTTGGCATTCAAAACTTTGCATTAAAACAAAAAGCGAGTGCTCTAATCAAACTATCCCACCAGAAGTTAAGCCGTCACAGTGTAGGACCTAATGGAAAGTAAACGCCATACTAGATAAAGCATTAAACCAGATAGGGGACAACAAACAGGACTCACTTCGAGGAGCCAGACGATCAATGTAGGACAGCAGCTGGGACTTGGCGACTCCTGGATCTCCCATCAGGCAGATATTAATGTTGCCTTGAGGAAGAAGAGACAACGGAGTAAGAGCACTGCAGTGATTACAACATTTAATGAGGAAAAACAACTTCAAAGAAATGTACCTATGGAATAAAGAAGTTTGGTCTTGTGCCAGCGTGATAAAGGAGCATAAATTATATTAAAATTATACATTCAAATTAGTATTAGAAAGCTATGTTACAATATGATGAAACAGAAGAAAAGGATTCTGCCGTTATAATCTTGTTTGTCCTCACCTCTGATTTTCATGCCTTTGGGAGCCTGTTCCACTCCTCCAACCAGCAACAGCAGCAAAGCCTTCTTCACATCTTCGTGTCCATAGATCTCTGGCGCTATGGAGCCAGCTAGCTTCTCATAAAATCCTTCATCTATAAAGAAAAAAATTCACCTCAGACACTAAAGACCAAGGTCTCAGTTTATGTGTTCCTATTGTAGTGATGTCCAACAAACAGACCTGTGATGCTTCGCAACTCCTCATCGGTCAGCTCCTCGTTACCTAGTTCATCATCCTCAGTCTTGTTCATGAGTGTAATGCTGTGACACTCCAGATAGGTTTCTGACAGGAGACCCTGAAAAGAGCAAAACCACAATACATTTCAGTTTCTTTCTGGAGATGAGATTATTGCAGTAGCCCATGTGTACTTTGACAAGCAGATTATACCTGAACAGCCTGACTGAAGCCTGTGCGCAGCAGAGGGAGGAAGATTCCTGTGATGGCTACGTGGTCTCCTGGCTGGGCAAGACGTGTGTTTTCGCCACGCACGTACACCGTCATGCTCCTTGGGATGTTTCCAACAGGTACTTGGTCACTCTGTGTAATACCAGACAAAACTTGTGAGCTAATGTTAACCAAAACAACTGAATACAAACATAACAAGTTTGGGAGTTTCTTACGTGTTCCTGAATACGCAGTTCCTGGAACTTGATGAATTTGGAGCCTCTCGTCTGCAAGTACAGTCGCCCTCCAGATTTGTTGGTGACACACTCTTGGCTGGGACACATAACAAGCGGCATGAAGGAAGGAGACTGGATCTGAAGGAAAACGAGAGGATACGATGAAAAACTTTGTTCCTGTGAAAGCATATAGATGTATAAATCAGGGGTGTCAAACTCAAACACACAGTGGGCCAAAATTCAAAACTGGAACCAAGTCGCGGGCTAACGTTAATATTTATTGAAATATATTTGTTCCTCCAGATATAAGAATGAATCTTTTCTTATGGACTCAAACACGTTTTGCTGAAAAACTGAATATGGAACAAGCAAAGCTTAATACTAAACATATATATTAGCTGTGTAATACCAGTAGGCCAGCTGTAATAGTAATTTGGTATGGATTCGCGGGCCAAATGTAATTAGGCTGCGGGCCAGAGTTTGACACCTATGGTATAGATGATTAAAAACCGTCTTACTGGTTGGTAGGTCTCAGCGCCACACTGGTCACATGTGTATGTAGCCACAGCCATCATCGGTTTGACCTCAGTCGCTCGAGTCACAATACCCCGAACTGCAACCAGGTGACCGATGCTGTCGGCTCGAATATCACGCACCACTTTGGGTTTAGAGGTGCTTGGAGCTTTAAAGTAAAGCTCGCTGTGGGAAGAAGTTCACAGTTGTATAACCAAAGGACAAATAAAGACATGCAGTAAAAGCTCAGCTCTGAATCCGATTCAACTTACAATCTCCTCATGAGTTCAGGCGGGTATTGATTACGAGGGTCTCTTGTATCTGCAGGGTCACGACCCCTTTGTTCCATCATCAGCCTGTGCTCAATGTACACATCCAGAGAATCTTTGGCAATAATCTATGTATTTAAAAAAAATAAAAAATAAAAAAATAGACGCATTAATCCTGGGGAAAAAAAAAAAAAAAAAAATCACAATAGCAATTCATTTTTGGCACTTCTTAAACTGATCAACATACATCTCTTTCCTTATACTCTGGCAGCAGCTCGTGGACAGCATCAGCAAACAGCGCTGTGTAACGTTTAGCATTCTCACAGATGCTCTCGACCAGCTCGGGGTCTTCTTCAGCCACATCATCCAGATCCACAAAAAGAGCCACCCGCTCCCTGTGGGCCAGCGCCACCTGCAATTAATTAGATGATCACCCAACAATTACACAACCATCTTTGCAGCTACTACTAACGCCAAACACACCTTCATCTACATTTAGAAGCAAAAAGGGAATTATGCATTTCGTAAATAGGTAAGAGCCTTTTTCCATCTTTCACATGGAAGCTTGATTAAGAGCCATTTAGTTTTGCTTTCACTTTTACATTTTAATGCAATCCACCCAAAACTATTCTACTTATAACAAAAATAACTAGTTCAAATAAACATTTACATTTATGATTTTGTCAAATCATAAATGTCTGCTTGTAAAGACAACAAATGGTGTCAAAGAACAGTGTAGCTAAAATGTTTTATTCACTGACCAGTGAAGCATCAGCGCTCATTAGCACACCAGATTTGTACTTTTTCTTGTGCAATAATATCAAAAATCTGCAATGAACCAACTCTGAAAACTAAATCTATACTCATTATTTCTGTAGTATACTCACAAGTTGGGCTCCATACTTGAACAGCTTCTTCCCGTTGTCATCCTCTGTGTAAAATTCCTGCAGGAACCTTTTGCATTTTTCTGCAAAACAACCAAAAAAATACCTTCAGTACAATTTAACAGGAGGGAGACGAGAAAACAAACAAACAAAAAAACCCAGACAGGCCACATGCAGCAAACACTAGGTGGAGATTGATTGTTAGCCACACACACACACACACACACACACACACACACACACACACACACACACACACACACAAAGAAAAGGCTGTTTACTTTAGTTCCCTTTAAACAATAAATCTTATTTCTGAGCTTAAAATCTGTTTAAATTGTTGATTAACACCACCGGCAATGGGCCTACACACTGTGAGCTAATTTGTTGTCCTGCGACGACCCCCTTTGTTGAGTAACATGGCATCCTGTAATCTCGATGAGTCACTACTGCCTTACAGTAAAGCACAAACTGCCACTGATGTGTTACATGATGCCAACTCCGCTCTGACGTTTCCACATAATAGTTTTAGAGCGAAATAACTGGCGACACGCAGCAGATAGCTTCTGGGCAATAATGTAAATACAACAACAGGCGCGCTCAGTTCAGTGTCCATTTTTTTTTTTTGAAAATATCCCCCCACTTCTCGAAAGAGCCACAACTGTTAACAATATTTAATTCAGCGCTTCGAGAAACGAAACTACTCTTGGCCGTGATAAATAAAATACTCCACTTACTTTGACGCGGTAGCAGCAAATCCGCACCTCTGCTTTTTTTATTTCTCTCTTCGAGGATGTTATTGTAAACAAAGCAGCACATGGCTTTTTGTGCCCAGTCACTCGCGGTATCCCTCCGCCATCCCTCCGCTCTTAAAAACAGTCCCGGCTGTTGTTTTCAAACCACAGCCAGCCATCTTCTAATGTTAGCCTAGGGTTAGCCGGGGTGTACTGAACACAAGGCGCAGGCAGCCCCATCACTGCGAGCTTATTGCTCTTAATCTCTTGGCGGTGGAAGTAGCTTTCTTAATGCTATCGATGGTTCATGCACCACAAACTTCAGCCTTTAAGCGGTCGGTTAGATTCACGAATGATGACTCGGGTGTTTGTGAAGTTTATTCGGACCTTTAGAGTGACTCAAGCACCGCTGCAAATTTAAACTTACCGTAACGTAACGTTGATGGTGTTGTTATAATGGTCGATTTTTAGTAAATCCCTGCCCTTTTAGATGTTTGTGTAACAGAAATAAAGTTTGTTTACCCAAAGTAAACAATCATTTAGAGTCTTCTTACGTTTTTAGAAATATATATACATATTGTGACCCTCAGCGTAAACGTGCTAAACACAGAACAGCACGTTAACAGGTTAACTGACAGCAGCTAGCTCGCGGTTACTAGTTAACCCGATTTCAAGACGTTTAAACACCTCAACTAAACTCTAAATGTGGACATTATAAAATTCAGTTATTAAAAAGCGAAGTAGAGGTTAACTTACTGCCATTGTGTACCATTAAATGTTAAGGTTGCGCTCGCGTTTGATATGAACTTAGCTAGCATTTGAGTGGCCTTTATAAAGTTATCTGAAACGATGATCAACTTTTCAGCCTAGTGCTTTATCTTTGACTTTAAATGTTACACATTAAAAATGAAAAACTTGGCGACATTAATGATTATCTTTAGTCGAACAGCTCGTGTAACTGTTGAGACATGTGCTTGCTGCTGCACAGTGGCGCCTGCTCCTTTGTTTAAGGATCCATCCGGGTCACCGTGGAGCCAACAGCCTCTGTCAGGCGCGCGCACACACACACACAGTATCGAAGTCGTTATCAAGAGGATAGCTAATGTTCACACAAGTTTGTGCAACTTATTTTTAACACTGCTCCCGTGTGTCGCGCGTTTCTTGACACCATGTGCAAGCACTCATTTATTTTCTATCATTGTTTTCTTTCAAGTTGAGTTAGTAATGAAACGAAGCGGTAATGTTGCGCTTTCGCACATGAAATCAGATTTTATATTATATCCAACTTCATAGCCAGTACACCCCGTGATATACGTTCACCAAGGTTTCGTGTGGGATTTTAGAAGTCATTTGGTAAAAAGTTGACTAAAACGGCCAACCTGTTGCTGCCATGACGTTAAAGATGAAACATTACCTTTCTCTGCTTCGTAATCCTTGCGAGCCATGATTGCAGGTATTGCGCTTCAGTTAAGATAACTTACTTCCAAAAACGCGAGGGGAGAAAAGCAGTTTATCTCAAAGCTCGGTCTTTTTAAAAAAAAAATCACTAACACCGGACACTTATTCACTAGCAGCCAGCGCTTCTCCCCTATCTCTGTACAAGAAGTGGCGCGAGTCTGACGTCTCCCTCAGCCAATAGAGTCGCTTCTTTCGGCGGGGAGAGGCGGGATTCGGTGGTGGCGCGAAAACTGCGGGCAGTCTGGTGTCACCTGACTGTGCGAACTTCCGCCCCGTTTGTCAGGAATGGCGCGAAATGCGATGATTGGATTCATGCGCAACCCAGTGTCAACAGGGTGAGCGTGGAACGAATGAACCCAACATAATGTCATGATTTACAGCTGTATTTTACGGAAGCGTAGAGCTGCCACCCAGGCAAAAGAAAAATACAAGTGTATCACGTTATAACGTGAAAGGTTTATTGTTCTAACAAGATACTTTTCCTGTTTGTACAATATACTTTTCACGTTTGAACAACATAATATCACGTTATTACAATATACATAATCATCACGTTCGTACAATATAATATTTATATTGTACGAACGTGATAATTGATTCCTTCCTTATATGAATGGTCATTCTTTTTTGTTTGTTTGTTTTAAATCTAGTGACAGATTATTTGTGTTTGTTTTTAGCAAATACATCTGCAGTGTTTGAATTGTACACCAAAAGCTACTGGCAGTTCAGTTCAAAACTTAATAGGAACATTTTTTCATACAGCCTTATCATCTCATCTAATCGACTGCGAGAAAGGAAAAAAAACATATTTATCAACGTGTCAGAGCACTCCTTACATTGTGGTACATCTTATCTCCTATTATATTGTACGAACATAATCATCACGTTCGTACAATATAATATTTATATTGTACGAACGTGATAATTATGTATATTGTAATAACGTGATATTATGTTGTTCAAACGTGAAAAGTATATTGTACAAACATGATAGTATATTGTACAAACAGGAAAAGTATCTTGTTAGAACAATAAACCTTTCACGTTATAACGTGGTACACTTGTATTTTTCTTTTGCCTGGGTGGCAGCTCTACGCTTCAGTAGTATTTCCCCATTTTATAACATACATGTTATATAGCAAATGTTTTTCTGACATTTTCTCACATATGGAAATATAATGAAAATGTTGCACATTTTAATTGTCATTAGGTTGTATGGAAGCTTGTTTGTGGCTTAAAAGTGCCTGTCATAGCCAAGTCAACATTTTGATGAGTCTTAAAACTTTGACTTATTGAGCAGCTCAACTTTAAGTTACTTACAACTAGGAATAAATTTTGAGACGCCTAATAATCACCCCTCCTCCCAATTAATTTTCTGTATACAGTGCTGAATCACAACAGTAGTTATATAAATTAGCCATTTATCACAACAGTTGAGGGTGAGGGGAGGAAGACAGACAAGTACTTTAAAGCCATTTCAGAGAAAGTCAAAATTTCTAGATAAATAACCTCAAGTTTTGATTAATTAAATAGAGAAAACCTAAAGCTGATTCTTAAGGTTTTTGATCACTGTAAAATACCACCGTATATCTTGACTCCTTCCACTTGTTTTTCTAAGCTCCTTCTGCTTTATGGTGTAATTCACTACAAAGCAATATGTGTTACTTTGTGCATGTTGTTACTTTTATTAATCTTTTACAAAGGATACCCTCGGAATTCATTTTGATCTTGTTTATTAGTGATTTTTTTGACCTAGAAATAAAGCAAACAAATCACACATTACAAACAGGAATAACTAGTAGTGCTTCAGTGTATCTAAATAACATTTTGAGTTTGTTCATTTTTAAAACAATACATTGTAATGCCTTACTTTTAGTATTGCTTTGTAAAAATCAGGCATCTTTAATATACATTAAGGTGTTCAACAAAAAACAAAAACAAACTGTGATGTCAACAGTGAAGGCTATTTTGAAAAATGTGAAACTCGTAAGAGCTGACGAAAGACAGAGGAACCAAGTCCAACTTTAGTGAAACATTTATTCTGAACACCGTTATTTTCAAAACATTCCTATTAATACATCAGAACAGCTTCTAATTCCAGACTTCCCAACCAACAACAAAATTAAGAGACAAAAACAGGTCTGACAGGTGAACTTGCCGTCATTCAGAAGAACAGATGACTCTTAATGTTCGTCACACTGAAACTGTAGAAGTCCTGAACAGATGATCCCCCGCTAACCTCAGTCAAAGAGCTCGTCAAGGACACTCAGTGAGGTGTGACGTGTGGAAGGCTGCAAGCAAACAAGTTTTAGTTTTCAAGGTATGTTGTACTTGATTTAGATTTATGTAACATATTTGTATTCAAAGGGTATAAATATAGCACTAGGAGCAAAGTTCAAAACATCACACATGTGCTTCTTTTCCTCTCATCATAAATAGCTTTGTACATATTTTTTTCTCTGCACAGATCCTACAACTGTGGTCACTGAAAGGACCAAAATGAATTTGTGGTGACATGTATATGTTCCTTTTAAAGAATTAATTCATTTGTACCTTAGCTGACCAGGTGCTGTTAAAACAGATTGCACAGTCATGAGAGAAAGTAAATATGATGTATTTGGGGTTTTTTTGTTCTTACCAGTGTGTATCCAGTGTCAGAGTCACTGTGATAATCTTCAATCTCGTCCTCATCTCTTTCTGAGATGTCATCTTCAATCAGGGAAAGCCTGCAAAGCACACACACAGATCCATTCTGTGATTATTTCTGGTTGAAAATAGCTTTTGTAAAATGGAACATATTCACAATTTAATAGTAAGTATTAAACAGTCTAAAAATCAGTCTTACAAGTTGAGGTGGGAGTTCAGGTCTTGCTGCCTTGGAGAGGGGGTGTTCTTGCTGGAGGAAGCCAGCTGTCTTTTATTGAGTTTCACTTTTCGCATTTGTAACCTGGAGAGCAGCAGAAGACAATTTTCCAACTTCACTGTCTACCTGCTGTATTCTGTGTCTATGATTATGCCTGAATACACAGGGGAAATTAAATTTGTTTCATCATAAGCAAAACTCTGCAGGAGCTTTAATTTTCCTTCTTTTGCTGATTGCCCTTTTGACCAGTAACACAGCACACAGAAAAGAAAGGTACTGACATGAAATCATCTGACCCATGGCAGTAATTTACAAATGCTCGAATCAGAGGCAGCAGATACTGCAGACATGCTGATCATAAAATTTTACTTACCCTGGGGAGAACTCATCCTCTGATTCCGGCTCAGTTAAGGTGCTGCTGATATCCGACTCCACGGGTCTTGGTTTCCTGGATGCAATCCGCTTGGCGGGTTGCTTCTGGACAGTGGAGGTGAGGGCTGGGGTGTGCAGGCTGCTCTGGATGCTGCTGTTGTCCAACCAGGATCCTCTGGTGGTGGACGCTGAACCTGCAGGAGAGACAAGTCGCCACACAAAGATGATGACGCTTTAATTGACAAGGTAAAGTAGCAAATTTGCTTCCTGCAGAATTCAGCAGATTCCCAAACACACATGTACATGTGAAGTAAAAATACCAAAGAATAAATGTTTTTAAGGCTTTCGAAATGTGAAGAATGCTATTAATTTTACATCACTGTATTTTGAACAACTATGACAGTTTTGCACTGTTTCTCTTAATGGTACCGAGTCATTACAGCAATTCCTGGACTCAAATTCAGATCAACTCCATAAGTTACCACCCAACCCAAACCAATAACAGAAAGAACATAATACATAACATAACATAACATAACATAATATTCTTTTTATTATAACTGATTACGATAAACGATTTCACAATTTGGGTTGAAATAACTGCTTTGTCCTGACATTTGGGTCACTCCTCCTCTGAATGGCCCCAAATATTAATCAATCCATTTTCTTCCACATATCCAGTTACATGGGGCGAACTAGATAGCTGTCCACTAGGGCTGGGTTTTTATAATCGATTTATCGATTAAAATCGATTCTGGCTTGGATAACGTAAAATCGATTCATTAAAATTCTGAATCGATTTTTTGATATAAATTTATTTTGCCCGAAATGCCAGAATCTCAGGTTAAATCTCACAAAATTTCAACAACAGCTAAGACAGTAAATGAGAGCAGGAACACGGATTCTGCACAAAGCCTTAAACACACAGCGCGACCCGCGGATCAGAATCAGTGAGATGTCGCCTTTCTCACAGTCGGGGCTGAAAGCCGACAGCTCGCTGATTCTGATGTTTCGGCGCTTTGTGTTTAGGCCCTTTTTGCGCTGATTCTAAAGCTGTTAGTTTGATCTCTCTCCAAACAATATTGACTGAACCAGCAGCAAAAGAAGATCCAAACTACGCTTCACATAAACATCGTCATGAATTCACTCTGACTTTTACTGTTTTGCTTCGACCACGATGCACAGCTCTCTCTCTCTCTCTCTTCAGGAACAGTTTCCCGTCTAAAAATCTGTTTTCTGCATTATTCGCTTGCTTGTTACGCACAAGTCTACCGTTGTTTACAGCGCTGTCGGCCGATGTTTTTTTTTTTTTTTC